AACCAAGGGGGTGTACCTCTTTCTCTCCGGCCCGTGATGGTGATTTCTAGTCTCAGTTGTTACCTCGCTAGCGCGCATAAGGAGTGGAGGACTCCAGAATATCTGTCGTTGAATTCGATTGACTTGCGAACCCCTCGGGGCCATTTTATTTGAGTGTACCTTGTAAGGGTAAGTTAGCCTGCGACGGCGGGAATCGACCGCGTCGAGTGTTGGATCAGTACAGACATACAATCGTACTGGGTAGAGAGAGATCGGAACGGTTTTAAATGTGAAGACTGAAGACAACAACAACAACAACAAATAGGCCTGTCCTCCATCGGCCGTTTTAGTTTCGATTTAGATACACAAACTTTATTTCTATACTAATTTCAAGTAATTCCACCTTCTTATTCTCCGTCATACAAGCAAAACGGCCGATGGAGGACAGGCCTAACAACAATACAACAACACTTGGGGGAAAACAGAAGCGGTAGCGGTTTGACCGCGATAGAACAGGTTCGACGAAAAATAGTTTCGTTTCGGGTGTCGTTTCAGGTTCGTTTCAAGAGGATGCGGCTCAATCGTGCATTTCGTTAGAATTTCAGTATTCAGTATTGCAGCTGTTCACTGCTCCTGACCCACGCGCTCCTGACCCACAGGAGCAGCCCGTCTTGTGCCCCGCAACTCTGCAACGGAAGAGATTAAGTCACTCAATCCACGCGTTTCAATTTTCCTCATCTACAAATGGCCTCATTAAGTGCCATCGCGGCCACTCCGGCCCAACTACGAAGAAACGAGCCACTCGCGCTGCCCACGACCACTCTCGCCCTGCGCTTGACCCGCCTGGTAGAAGCGAAGACAAGGTTCTGTCAATTCTGTGGTAAGCAACAATCAACTATGCTTGGAGGGGGGGGGAGGCGCTCGATCACTTGGGTTGCAACTTCTCAGTTGATAGCATCTGGGCGTCCAACTCGGCCATCGGCGGCGTCGTGTTCGCACGTGCGTATCACGCAGGTCCTGACTCTTCATTTGTGCCTCCTCGCCGAAATTCGCAATTCGAAACGATGATCGACACGACGAAAGTAGGATAGACATGTACTGCGAGGGCAAGAGTACCCACGACGTCGTGCGTGTGTGAGATGCGTTTATGCCGCGGCGGACAGACCACCTCCAGAGTTGCTGAGTCATCGATCGTGATGCGGTAACCGCATGTTGGCAGCGGGAGGAGTCACTCGTTCCGGTTATATTCCCTTCGAGTGATAGGGCTGAATGACCATCTCCCTTTGCTCTCATCAAGCACCCTCGACACATTTGCACACGTATGTTGGAGCGTATCTCACTTCTTGCTCTGCGTCTGTAGAGCTTCTAGCGGCGGTAGGTTGACCACGTGGATCGTCCTGCACCCTGCACCGTTGGCTGTCATCGGAGTATGACGGCGTCTACTTCGCTAAATAATTATGTAAGTAGCGCCAGTGAACCAAGGTACAGCAGTAGCGAGATGATAATCTACTTACGAGGAAAACCGCAGAACTCTTGCCGATTCCTGTAAAAAGGAAGATCATCGTTCGCAGGAAAAGGGGATCCTCCGACGTGCACGACCTGACGTTGAAGGAACGCCGTCATCGACCGCGTATGTCAGACCTCCCCTACGGATGAGGAAAAAAGCTTTTTTTTTTCCGCGGTGCCGGTGGCGGCAAGGGCGGCCTTGGACACATTTCACGGGGGGCGGGAGCCAAATAAACGTGTCGTTTGGCATTGACACCCTGTCGATATGTGAAGCAAAATACAGTTTTAGACTCGCTCTATGCGCAAGGAACCTCTAAACCACCGAGGCCATGCACCACCACGACCACACGCACCCTTGCGGGAACTGGTAGAGCTTGTTTCGCAGGAAACTATTTGGGTTGTCCGCACGATAAGCTGCATTGTCATAGTTTCAGTGATGACCAGCGTTGGAACTCAACCACATGTCCCTTTTTGCCCATGTCTTACAGGCAACCGACTCTGCGCCGTCTTTAGGCCCAAGCGCGCCTGTGCTGGGTGCGGTGGGACAATGTGTGGTGCATGCTCAATTGAGATGCAGGTGAAGAGCGACAAGTGATATCAGTTGATCCACCTGGAATTTCTGTACCGATGTATCCTTTCCAACCTCCTCTACCTTCGATGATTGAGACAATAATCAACTACCCTATTTGCGGACAGAGCGCTTCATCACCGGGGGGAGGCAGTGCCCTTGTCAATTTCTTCCCGCCGGCCATGTGCTTGCCTTTGCCACGTGTCCCTCGTCCCTGTTGCCTGCTCTCTGTCACCGTTTGCAGCAACAGGCAACCCGGGGCAACCGGCCACTCCGCGTGTGCCCCGGATGTGATGCGAGGCTTACGGCGTACCCGACCTTTGTCCGCCACATCAACGCAAGACGGGAGTATGGAGAGGGCGTCTGCAACGCGGTGACGTCAGCTTCTTCGCAGACATCTCCCTCTTCGCCGTCCTCCTCTGCGGCTTCCTCGTCTTCTACTTCTTCTCCGCCGTCTCCGTTACTCTACAGCATTGCGACGCAGACTTCGCCGTGCCTTGTGATCGCACCGTCCCCTTCCTTTGCAGCCCCGGCCTCTGTGATTGGGACCGGTGGGTTCACCGTCACCATGACGATGATGCCGCCCCGTACAAAAGAACGGCGGCCGTCGGCCTCACCTCTTGCGTGGCTGCTCCGAGCTATCGGCAGCGCTAGCAACAACAACAGACACAACACGAGCAGCAGCAACCGCCACACCGATAACAGCAACAACAACATCATCGCCAACAACATCAGGAGCAACAGCAGCAGGAACGTCAGCAGCAGCAGCAACAGCAGCAGCAACGTCAGCATCAGCAGCAATAGCAGCAGCAACGTCAGCATCAGCAGCAACGGCAGCAGCAACGTTAGCATCAGCAGCAACAGCAGCAGCAACGCCAGCACCAGCGGCATCAGCAGCAATACCAGTAGCAACAGCGGGAGCAACAACTGCGCACACCACCAGGACGAAACGTTTGCATCCCGAATGGACCAGGGGGAGGAGTTTCTGCGACAGACGCCGCCCGGCATCACCAAGGTCATTTTGCGAAAGCGATATAGAGTGATGGGTCTGGCAGCGGTGATGGTCGGTGTGAGCAGCCTTGCTGCTTTCGTAGGTCGCTCGCGTTCCCGGAGATAACCTTCATCCGGATATCACTCCGCCACCCACCCACCTGCCCAGCATCGCTGCTCCGTCTTTTGCGGCCCACGATGGTTGCACACGTGTTGGATGCATACATACCAAAGTGAACCTTCTTGCGTTCCGTGTGATTCAGATTGAGTCGGTCGCTGAAAACGTTCGTGGGGGCGAAAACGGATATGAGTGCTGTATTATAGGTATGTTGTAGTTTTACGAAATGGGCGAACGTGTGTTGAATGAGATGATGTCGCCAACCAGGTGCCCTCTGCTCTCTCACGAGTGATGTAGAGTCGAAGGTGGGGTATCATGAGGACTCAATTCTGGCGCCAGGTAGTGGTGCGGTTGAAACTACCCACCATGTTCATTCTGGCGGGGTGGTGATTTTCACCCTCTGTGTGCAATCAGGAAGGCCATCCCGCTGGCTTGTTTGATGTGTGAACGTGTCCAGCTTTCACATCATTTGAAGATGGGCGGACGGATAATGCCCTCAGCATGCTTGGTTGGATGAGATGGAAGTAAATAAACGTGGTTGGGTGATGAGGATTACGTTCTGTAGCGATATGCATGGTTGTCTCCTTTGGGATCTGGAGTGAGGAAATAGTCGAGACTCGCATACACGGCGCTCCCTAGCCACGTTTACGTTGAGGTTAATTCCGATTACTCACCCCCCCCGACATACAGGCTGCTTTCTAGAACAATGCACATGGTTGTTGTCGTCAGCCGTCCTTCGTTCATCAACGCCACCCCGTCGGCCCTTTGTCGGGCCCAAACTGGCACAACCAACCACCGAAACAACGAACCAGACGAACCTGTGGTTGATGACGATGTCCACGGCGGTTCATGAATAATCTGGCCTCGACCGAGTAGATTCCTGTGTCGTTACTCTCGGTGGTCAAGGAACGAACTTCCGTGGTGACAAGAGGTGGCAAACAGGAACCGTTGAGGCTGTAGAAGGTTTGCCGAGATCACTCTCCATGTCATCCTACGAGCACTACAGCCCTCAACCAAGACTGCAAGACAGGGGGCTACATGCGTACGCGCCGTGTTCCTTTTCCATTGCGTTCATCTCAAACACACGACGTATTTATTGTGAGGCACGTTCTTCAATTTTCAAAAACACAGGCTTTGACCAAAAATCTCTCTCATTCATTGTGTTTGGCCTGCTTTCAAAGACTGTGGGAAAACAGTACATATTCAACTACATACGTTCCCTGTCGAGAAATACGCAAGGGTTGTGTTCGATAGAATCGCTTACACTCCAATATGCTTCTGGCTAGAGAAAGCGCCGTGCACCGGACTTTGTAGAATTGAAGACACTATGTAGCTGACCAGTAGGTTCCCAGATTGATGCCAAATGGAGCAAGTAGACAAACTGACTGAAGACCAAGCATCGCCAAAGGCAAGTGCCTCCGTGTATTCGTTCATCAATACGCTCTCTATGTCTTGTGGCGGTAGTCTTTGACGTCCTTTTCTGATGAAACATAAAATGATCTTGCGATCGAATGGAAACGCCTTGTTGTGATTTCAGAATGTCAAAAGGAAAAGAAAACGCGATAGTGGTTCGACCAACCGACTGAACACAAAGGTTGCGGTTGGCGTCTGGTTCCGTTTCGTAAATGCGGCTTGATGATTTGTTTTGTAGCTCGTAGCCCCGCAGCTGCCCACTTCGTGCGCTCTATCCTTCAAAGCAGTCCTTCCTTGCTCTCTGCTTACAACGGGATCACCCAGTCTACAAATCAAAGCATTTGATCAACAACGGCCCCATCCCCATCAAGTGCCTGCCATCATCGTGGCATCCTCGCCGCAACGAACAAAAAGAGCAAACCTTCGATGACCGCTACTCCTGCCCATCACGTGACGCGCCTAGTGGAAGCGAAACCCAGGTTTGGCCAGCTCTGTGGTGAACAAAACTCAAATATTCGTCGAAGCCGGGTGGAGCTTCCGCTCACTCCGGTTGCGATGTCAGTTCATGGCACGGGCGTGCAATAGGTTGACATCGAAACCAGACTGAGCGAAAGCTCCCCCCTTCGTCCACCTCTATTTGAGTCTCGCTCACCGCAGAACTGGCAGAACCTGGTCTTCGCTTCGACCAGGCGGGTCACGTGACGGGCAGGAGTAGTGATGCGGCTCGCTTCATCGTTGCGCCGAGGATGCGACGATAGCACTTGATGACGAGGCCATTGTTGATCAAAACAATATGACAAGTAGGATTGAGTGCCTGGATCTGTTTCTCAGCAGAGTTCGTGGAGCACAAGCAAGAAGGTCTTCTTTTGTTGAGCGAGAGCACGAAAAGTGGACAGTCAGCAACCCAAGCATCGTTTCCACCGAGACGCAGTGACTCGTGCGTTGGAGCATACGTCGCGTCTTGCTCGCCGCATGTAGCGGAAGAAGTTGGCGTACGGTGGCTTGAGCATATCGATCGTCCTGTTCTCGCCCTACTCCCGTGGGTGGCATCGAGCTATCTCGGCTAGGTTTGTCGGAGGGTACTCCCAAGGCCCAAGGTAAGTCCCGAGAAGATGGTATACGTGAGAGGTGAACGGCCGGACTCGTGCCAGCCGTCGGGAGAAGCGCCGTTCGCGAGGAAAATAGAATCGTTCGCCGGATGCGAGGTGATGTTGATCGGAATGCGTGCCGTGTTTGACAGTGCATCCCAGATCCCACTCTTGGGCGTCTGCGAATGGAGCTTGGCTTCTGCGTCACAGAATGTGGCGTCTTGCAGCAGCGGAGGTGGCGGTGCCGCTGTAGCTCGTAGACTTTGTAGTCTACCACAGAGGTTACACTGCTGTCACCGCTCTATCACAGAGGTTGGTCTACACTGCTGTGAAATCGGTAGGCCCGAGCGAGCTTTGGAAAGAGAAATGCAGATAGATGTTCTTATCAACTGACTCCCTGGTCAGGCTTTGATGGGTGCTAGATGAGAGTGAGCACAAGGGGCGAAGGCGCGCTTGTGTCTCATCTCAACAACAAAACAAAAACAAAAAACAAGCAGCAAAAACACAGCAGGTTCCGAGGGTCTCCGGAGTAATGGCCCGAGTACCGGAATTTCGGGGTTCGGAACAATAAAACAACTACAGTCTCGCCTGCCAA